CAAATAATAAATTCTACAGAACAAGGTGTATGCAACAAATTCTTGTAGTATGAATTACAATGCTCAAAAACATGTATACACAAATGTATAATTTGTATATATACACGTATATAATAGAAATATGTTTTATTATATCAGTATACTTTTAAAATTTTACAACATCACCTCAGTTTTAGGTCCATATATGTGAATACATACACATACACGTGTGTGTTTGTGCATGTTGCCATACATTTCCAATGTCATAATCAGAACTGATACTAAAGTCATCTATGTTTAAATGAGGAAACAAGCGTTGTGAAATAACTGCAATAGTTGGGTTGCTGTTCCTGGTTAACTGAATGATTCTGAAACAATGGCACCACAGTTTCTGCTATAGAAAGGCTATAATAATGTCCTTCTATCTCATTATCATTTAAATGCTCATTGCCCCATAATGGAGGTAAATGAGGTTAAAGATAAAATGTTTCAAGAGAAAGAGCGAAAAATATAAGGTTAAATACAGTGTATGGCGACAGCTTCATGGTTTAGTACAAAGCTTGCCAGGTCATGGATGAATCCTTTGATGTAATAAGAAATACAGACCTTCTGACATGCCCTAAAGAGAATAAATATACTGATCTGGAACAAAAAGTATGAGAAACAGCTGTTAAGTGACAGAAGAAATGTGCATTGGACCACCAGCCTGTCATAAATATTGCACTCTTAATCAGAAAACATCTGTCTTTCCGTGTCGTGTTCAGCTATTGCTGCATAGTATTTAATCTGTGCAGAATGCCTCTCCTAACAGGTGCAGTGGTGTTTACCAATTTACAACCTTATTTAAATGAAGCTTACAACTAGAGATGTTGCAATTAACAAAGCTATCTTATAAGCATACATCATTCTAACGTGTGATAGATTCATTGGCGGCTTTGCATTTGTGAAATACCATCATTGGAGAATTAGAGTTCCTTTGCCACAATAAGGTAAGGAAAAGGTGTCTTATGTAAATGACACCATAAAAAGACATTGTAAGGAAAAGATAAAAAATAGGAAGTCACTACTGGGAATATGACCAGTGAAATACTTGGAGAAAGATATAATAAAATGGCGTATTTCCCATGATGGAATAGAATGCAAAATGTCCCTCATGGTTATAAAAGTGGTCTCTATGGCACTGGCTTAACTTTCCCGTGATTTAGAATTTTTTCCCTCAGTTGTCAAAATTGTTGAATAAACAATAGACTTCCTTATCAGTAGTTTCATTTTTCAGTTTCAGTTACCTGTGGGAGCTACAGTTTAGCACTATTACATATGCAAATTTTCAAGGAAAAGTGCCTATATATATTTTTTTCAATTATTAGCCAACGTGGATAATGTAGCAAGATCTTGCGCCGTACTGTTCCATTCCTGAAAGATGAAAGTCATCATGTTGGCCCGGCTATAGACACTGAATATCACTACTCCACATTACTAGCTTTCTTGGTTATCTTTTTTACTTTTTTAAGGAAAATCCATTCTGCTTGTTTTAGAATAAATACCTGAGGTCCAGCAGAAGTGATGTTGGCAATTTTATTATGGTGTTTTATTCTAGTTGTTGTTCATCTTAGTTTTAGTAATACTCAATCTCTTGCCTTACCTAATTCATACACTAAGCTTTATATATCTGTATTTACAGGAAAATGTAAGTGTGTATTACTAACCCTAGCCTCACTGTGATCTTGGAATATATATACCGCAGACGTGACATGAGTCATGTAACAGAGTCATAATCAGTTTTAAAATTTTAAAGGCCAAAACATATGGAAGTAAATTCAAAGGGTAACATTATAAATGTCCAAGGAAATCTTGAAGAGATACTATTTTGCAAAACACAAATACAACAGACTTCATAAATGTATTTAGTGTCACTATATGGCCTTGTAAGTATGTTGGAAAATGTATTACGAAGCAGTTATTTTTGGATTTAAAAATGCATTTGCATGAAAATAGTCATTTTAATTCTGTTTTTCAGCTGGATATACCATTGTTTAATCACAGAATTAATTCATTAAACAATGTAATTTTAAAACTGATTTATAAAGCTATAGGATTTGGACCAGTATGATGCCACAGCAAACTAATCTTCCATTCTATGGTTTTATTGCTCAATTATTTCCCAACATTTGATATAAACATGTGATGAACATGATAGATGCCTGGATAAACAGCATGCATGTGGGGATAACGTCAGCTTAATCCTACACCTGCTAGCACCAGCATCCCGTAAGGGCATGGGTTCATATTTCCTATCCAGCTTCTTGCTAACAGATTGCAAAAGCAGCAGAAGATGACCCAAAGCCCTGGGCCCTTGCAAACACACAGATGCTCAGAAAGAAGCCCTGGGCTCCCAGCTTCAGATTCAGCTGGGAATATTGCTTCAACCACTTGGTGAGTGAACAAAAGATGGAAGGAATCTCTTCTCGTATGCCTCTCCTTCTCTATATGTAAAGTCTGACTTTCAAACAAAAATTAATATATTCCCAGATATGGAATTTTTCAACGGATCAAACAAAATACATTGGTAGACATTCAGGATTCCAAACTGGAACCTCTGTTCTAATACTTCGTAATATAGACTTACTGTCAAATGGAAGTCGGTTTCTGTCTTGGCCATTTATTATGCTTGCGACATTGGGTGAGTTACCTGACTTTAAATTCTGTTTCTTCCTTAGCATGCATGGAGTAAATAATAATAGCTAAATCATCAAGATGTAGAAGCTTTGTGCTACTTAGTTTTTAATTAGATGTAGATAAGGAAACCAAGACCTAATGAAAAAAATATTCAGCATGGACATGTAAGAATTTGAAAACTCAGGTTTCCTGATGTCAATTCACCATTCTATCTCCCTAAAGATTATTTGTGAAGATTACAAAACCACTTAAGTATACACAAGTTTATGAAAACCTATGATTTATTAACATAGTTTACTATTTGATGTAGTAGAAACTGTTTTTTACTTTATGGATGAGGCTTTTAATAATAACTCACCTGATTAGATATACAAAAATGACTATTATAGGTTAAAACAGAAACCAAAAGTAAATATTCACTCACACAAAATTATGTAATAATAAGCATAAAATTTTGTAAGGGATAAATCCATTGAAAAATCATGCCCACTAAGGCAACATAAGTAAGCTCATCTGTTACACAGCACAGCAGAGGCTTTTTTAACTGTTTTTGAAAAAATACAATAGGATGAATTTGATGATGGACTAGACTTTCGGTGCATCATTTTAAAAACTGAGCTCCACTCACTAAGTCATGTTTTTTGTGCTGATGTTAACTTGAGGAGTTTCATAATGATGATTGTTCATTCTAAGTATTTCATGGCGTCCTGTTTCCACATTTTCTATGAACTTCACAGATCCTTCAGTCCCACATTGCCAACCTAATCAGCTTTTGTTGCTTGTTTTACTTAGTAACAAGTTCCTCCATTCCACTGATGTGCTGCCATCTAAAAAAAACTTAGAAATTTTCCCACCAATACACTGAATTGTACACTCAGACGAGTATTTTGTTGATAATTTCCATTGTGGAGGTCTTATCATAAACTTAGTGTTGTATCAGACTTCTGCACATACAGACTCAGCAGTTCTCACCATAGCTCTATGAAGCAGATTCCATAAGAGTACCAAGGTATCTCAGTCATAAAATAACTCAGGAGGCATGAAATAATTTGCCTGGCAAATGTTAGAGATTTTTACCACAATGTCAGACTTGCTTTCTCAAGTAGTGGGGTGAAACTCAGACAGAAACAAATATATTGAATAAGAGTGATAATCAACCTGGTAACATAAATAAAAGTTGGATGGGCTTGGGCAGGGAGATAGTAAGATAATAAAACATCCTACACTTAAACATCTGTTAATCATATACCACTTTTATCAAAGTGTCTACGTTGAATCTGCATAAAGGAAAGAATAGTGCTAAAGGATAGTGCTAGGCATATGAAAACTCAAACTTAACAACAGATATATTACAATAATTAATTTTGCATTACCAAACAATTCATTTCATCACAATCAATTCACCCAAAAGTTCTCCCTTGTCAGTGATCATTAGATGATTATAGCCAAAGTGAACGGAAATGACAGGAGGCAGAGCTGATCGGAGAGAATCGCAAGGCTATATGTTATTTTCAAAGTTACTGGAAATGTTGTGTAGAAGAGCCAATGCAAACATAATTTAAGCACTCTTTTTTCATAAATATTCACATTTAAAGAGCAAAGAAGCCTTTATGTAATCTTCCAGACTTTAATTTGTTAAAGTAATAATTACTTCAACCAGTCTGTTCCAGAGGCTTTCAAATATTTCCCAATAAATTAGGGACAATTTATGAAAAAACTTGGAATATTTCCAGCAGGTTTAGACCTTCATAAAAATAGTTTGTTATGACATAATTGCAAGGAAGATACAAAAGATTGAAGGCCAAAAGATGGATGATCAGAGACTTAATTAACGTGAACCGAGCCTTTTTGTTATTCTTTGGGGGAGAAAGCCCTCTGTCTTCATAATAAGCAGTGTCTTTTTAGGAAGGAAAATCATTGACCGAGTTTGGGTAGCTAATCCACTAGGTTCTCATTAACATAGAACATGTGAAACACATTTCCCTTGGGCAATGAGGAAAAGCTATTGCATATGTCATCTAGTTCTGTGAATACTGAAGATTACAATTACGTTTTGATGTTAATCCAACTACTGCAAATATCTTGCTGCAAAACACACTGTGAAAATGTGAGTGACAGTATAAATCTTTTCAAATTGAATTCACTATTGAAAAGAGCTGATGTTTTCAAATAGCGTTACAAAACCTTTGAACAAGAATAACTCTCAAAGCTACTTTCTCTAATGACCTATTTGGTATGAAAGATGAATAACCAAGACAAAAATCAAATTCTGTACATGTGGTGTATTGTGAATGAGTGAGTGAGTGAATGGGTGTTGTGTCTGTTGGGTGTTTGGAAACAATTACCTCTAATGCTCTGATGTCATCATAAGCAAACTCCACGGTGGGAACTCCAAGATGGTTGATGAAAAAATCGGCATCCCCTTGTATCTGTATGGAACTGACATTGGCTCCTGGGCACTGATATCTTCTGGTACAATTGAAATTATTTTTCTGAAAAACATAATTTCAATTGTTATTATATACTCTACCCAAAGTCAATCCTAAATCAATTGCTCCTTAAAATATGGTCCATGCAATTTTAGCATTAAAGGCAGTCTGGTTGTTGTTCTAAATGTCGATGCCTAGGCTCCACCCTGTTCTATACTGGACGCAGCTGGGGCTGTAGCCCTGGATTGTGTATTGTAACACTCCTTTATGATGCTAATGTTCACCAAAATTGAAGAATTACCAGTCAGAATCAAGCTTCCCTAGATATTGTTGCTGCTAAATCATTTTTGCCTTAGGTTTATTTTGAATTTTATTGAAATGCAATTCTTTGATTTTTTGAAACAATTTTGGGTCACTAAAATGAATCTGGGTTTATATTATTTTCCTTTGTTTTCCCATTAGTTTAAAAGATGGATTCATCTACATCAAAGAACTGTAAAACCTAAAACACTCTTAATACCCTGTGTTACTCTGTAATGGGGAGGGAATGCAGAGAAATCTTCCATCTCCCTAAAAAGTGAGAGGAAAATGTGAAATATAGCCTATCAGGATCAAATCTGATAACCCATAGACAACAGACTCGAGTCGGCACTAGACAATAGTAAAGCTACAAAGGCATTAGGGGGGGAATCGGGAGCAACCCTGAAAGCCTCTTAACAGGAGATCATGCGTATGGAGCAGGGGGGAGACCCCAGAGTGGAGCGGGAGGTCAGGAGGAGGCTTGCATCCCAACCCTGAAGACTCCCAGATCCTCACCAAGAACCATCAACATGGACGCCAAGGACTACATCCCAACTGCTAAGGAGACCACGGGGAATAGGAGTGCCTTTGGAGACTGAGAACTCTGAGGTCACCCACCCCCATCTAGAGCCTCTACAGGGGATGGAAGAAGTCCAAACTCTGCTGTACAGAAATCAGCCTCATCGGAACGACAACCAGAAGCCCTGAGTGATCTGCAGAGACAGAAGAATAATAAACTTCCTTCAGGACTAGGGAGGCGAGCTCTTTCTGGTCCTTGCCTGGCTCTGGGTCCCCACCTTCCCTCGCGGTGACCATTAGGATTGCTTCAGTAACTCCTCAAAACAAACAAATATACAAACAAACAAAAAATCTAGAATGGACAGACAACAACATGGAAAGCTTAGAATCAGACAGGAAATGGCCAGCGTTGCCTCAAACAGGCCTCACTAGGTGGGACACAAAGATTAGTTACGCCTCACTGGGGTATGGGGGATTTCTCTGCACACCCATCCTAAAAAAAAATATACTTATCTAAACTGATAACTGTATGGAAGAAGTCACAGGATGTAGTTAAGCAATTGCATTTTCCTATCCACATACTATTAATCAATACCATGTCAATTAATGCCATAAGGTTGTAAATCGCTGTTGATGTTACGTCAGGGCCTTCAATTGATTGGGATGATACTTTGCTGGCTTTACCTTCAGACCAGAGATGGTCTCACCAAGAAATCATTGAACCCCCAGGATAATAAGACACTGGACTTTACGCTTGGTAAATACTTCCAATGAAAAAACCTCAACTGAATTTGAACTGTGGTAACACAGTAAGGTGGAGAAATTCACCATGGGAAGAGGGTTCGAGGAGGGGTTGGGGGAATCCCAGTGCCCATAACACTGTGTTACAAAATGCAATGCAATTAATAAAATAAATTAATTAATTTAAAAAAGATGGATTCATAGGATATAATCCATTTGTATTACAATATATCAATATTTATAGAAGAAACATTCTTCATTTCTTCATAAAAAACATATTGTTAGATGTTTTAAGAGTATATCCTGGGGCCAGTTCTATGGGACAATGAGTTAAGCTTGTGCCTATGATACCGGCTTCACATAGGAGCTGGTTTGTGTTCTGGTTGCTTCACTTTTGATTCATCTCTCTACTGATGATTCCTGTAAAGCAGTGGAAGAAGTTCAAGTGCTTGGGACCCTACAATCATTTGAGAGACTCCAATGAAGTTCCTGGCTTCAGGAGGGCCCAGAGCCGGCTTTTGCAGCCATTTGGGGAATGAACGAACAAATGAAAATTCTGTTCTCTCTCTTTTTGTCTCTCTCTCTCTCTCTTCCTTTTTCTATCCAGTTCTGTCTCTCCCTCAAATCTTTCTAAAAAATTGTAAATGCCAATTACATTGATGACTACAATCAACATCAGAGAACAACCACACAGCTAAATGCATCCTGTGGGGAAATGCAAGGGGTCTTGGCCATAGACACCCACCAAGGTAGCATGGTGCGGCGATGGCATTCTCAACAGAGAAGTGCAGAGACAGTTATGGTGGAGTTTGTTGGTTTATCAACATCCAAGCACAGGCTTATGTAAGGCAGAGCCAGGGAAAACAAGCCTCGGGGTAGTAACAATATGTCTATTGGGTATGTGCATCTATTACATATCATAAGACTAGACAGTCAATATTGCTGTCATGCACATTTCCCAGGTGGTACTGTGTAGCCCACCACAACATACATGACTCCCCCACGTCCTGAATTTGAGCATTACAGGACTATTACAGAATCACCACAAGATGAATGTGGGCAGGGATAGGTAAAGAGGTTGCAGGGGAAGGGACTACCCAGAAGGCTCTGGGCTCTGTCAACTGCAGAGGTCTGCAGGGGTCCCTAGGCACTGTCCAAACAGGTGGAGGGTCTCTAGGCACTGATGAAACCATGGGAATCGAGACCTATTCTGGCATTCACTCACCCCCAGGAAAATAAAGAATGATAGAGTATTATCTCTTAACCTAAAAGTGAGCTAGCATACAAAACAAGTGATAGTTACTTAAACTAATGCAACACAAAATGTAGACACATTAAAAACAAATTCAGGATCTTATACTAAGTTTCTTTGATTAATTTTTCAAAAACACAGAAACATTCAGGGAATGAGGAAATGTGGGAGAAATATCAATATCCTGGGTAAAATCTATCAATAAACAAAAGAATATCATCTTTAAAATCATGTTAAGTGTATATACAGCTCATAACTGCCACTGATCAAAACACTGAGTCTTTAACGTCTTCTATATCTTGATATGACAGAATGAAAAAAATTTATTATCTATCAAAAGATTAGAGAAATGCAATTTAATAATAAAGTTTTTTTCTAAATACTATCTTATATTGTTTCAAATCTGACTTTGAGAATTTAGTAGAAAGGATAAAATCAGTTACAGCAGAAAGGGTAAAAATCAATTAAAACGGAAAGGCAGCATAGATATTTACAAAGAGAGCAACTCTAAGCTTAACATTAATTATAAATATCTTGAGTTACTAAAATTTCTGGAAATAGAAATAAAAAGAGAGTTTTCCTGTAAAACCTACTCAATTGCAATATTTTGCTTACTTGAACTCTGTTTGAGGCAAAAATGTAGTACTTTTACCTCTTGATATCATCCTTGCGAGTAAGACTCCCAGAAATATTATTTTAACCTGAAACCTTTCATGGCGAACTTTAGTATGGCCTAAAATATATATATTTGTAAGTAGTAGATCAAGAAATGCAATGAAGCTACTTTATACTAGGTTGAAGAGTACAAGAATTTTAGTGAAATCCAGGTATTGAACACTGGTACTTCTGAAGGTATTAAGTCAAAATAGATTCATTCTTAGCCATTCATCCAATCACTATTAATTCACACTCACAGTATGTTCTATCATTGAAACTTACTGAATGGCTGCCCCAAGCACAGGGATACCTAGACTATTCCACAATTTTTTTTTTAAGATTTATTTTTATTATTATTATTTTTTTATTGGAAAGGCGGATATACAGAGAGGAGAGACAGAGAGGAAGATCTTCCGTCCAATGATTCACTCCCCAAGTGAGCACAACGGCCAATGCTATGCCTATCTGAAGCCAGGAGCCTCTTCCGGGTCTCCCACGCGGGTGCAGGGTCCCAAAGCTTTGGGCTGTCCTCCACTGCTTTCCCAGGCCACAAGCAGGGAGCTGGAAGGGAAGCGGGGCTGCTGGGATAAAACAAACCGGCGCCCATATGGGATCCTGGGCGTGCAAGGCGAGGACCTTAACCACTTGTGCCATGGCGCCGGGCCCTATTCCACAATTTTGTTTCTTAAGGAAGAGTGATAGAATCTAGCCTTACCCTTCTACAGGCATCCTGAATGCAGAATGACTGGTCTATACTTTCTTTAAAACAGCAACATCTGTGAATTTCCCAGACACAATACACATTCTACTCTACCAATGAATACACAGGTAGCCTCTAATTACATTTTGTGCTTGCAACATTTTTTGAAGATTTACTTATTTTATTTTCATTGGAAAGCCAAATCAGATTTACAGAAAGAAGAGGATACAGAGACAAAGACCTTCTGTCTGTCTGCTCACTCCCCCAAAGGACCACAGTGTAGAGCTGAGCTCAATCTGAAACCAGGAGCTGCTTCAGGGTCTCCCAGGCAGATGCAGGTTCCAAGGCTTCGAGCCATCCTCTACTGTTTGTCTAGGCCATATGCAGAAAGCGAGAATGGAAATAGAGCAGAAGGCACATGAATCGGCGCCCTTGTGGGATCCTGGCACTTGCAAGGCAAGGATATAGCCATTGCACCATCACTCTTGTTCTTACGCACTCAAATATCATGACCAATCCAAGCACCAGCCGTTTTCCTGACACACGTTTTTTTTCTAAAAGAATGACATGAATCAAAAATTCACAATTATAAATAATGTATTTGTCAATTTTTCTAAAATAAATGTGATGTCTAATATAATATTTCATGTTATTTTTAAAGTTATTCCTGTTTAGGGAGCTCTGAATAAAATGTTTTGTATATATATATTTATAAATTTCTAAGATGGTAAAACTGATCCTGCTCTGATCAACCCTTACATTTCTTATTTTTTCCAGCAGTCACAGAAAACACAGCTGCTACTGCTGCCAGTTGAGTTTTAGTATCTGTCCTTGCCATTGCTATTCCAATCAAATGCTTTAATAATTTCATTTTATTGCATTTCTTTGGTTCCT